TGGCCATGGTGGAGAGTTTGGAATCTGATTGATTTGCTTCTGTGGACAGGTGTCTTTTATACAGGTAACAAGCTGAGATTAGGAACACTCCCTTTAAGAGTGTGCTCCTAATCTCAGCTCGTTACCTGTATAAAAGACACCTGGGAGCCAGAAATCTTTCTGATTGAGAGGGGGTCAAATACTTATTTCCCTCATTAAAATGCAAATCAATTTATAACATTTTTGACATGCGTTTTTCTGGATTTTTTTGTTGTTATTCTGTCTCTCACTGTTCAAATAAACCTACCATTAAAATTATAGACTGATCATTTCTTTGTCAGTGGGCAAACGTACAAAATCAGGAGGGGATCAAATACTTTTTTCCTTCACTGTAATAATAATAATTTGGTGTATTCGGGAAAGTATTCAGACCCCTTGACTTTTTCCACATTTGTGACTCGTTTCAGGAAACTAGGCGTATGTTGCGCGTCAGTACTTCACAGGAGAGCTATTTGAACAAACTTTTTTTTATTTTTATCAAAATGCGTTTTTTGTCAGAAATGCCTTCTGGAACATATTAACTTTCATGTGCCTTAATAACAAACTTGTATACCATCTGTAAATACGAATAAAATGGTTAAATTACGAGCCTAGATGGTTTAGCCACAGAAAAAGATGGCAACCTTCCCGCTAGCCATGATTGGCTGAGATAATGAGTGGGCTGGACATACAGAGAGATGAGTTCGCATTGTAGCACACTATTTGAGCTGGTCAGTATATGTAGTAGGTAATCATTTCCAAGCAGCTTTTAAAAAAAAGATATCACGTAGTTAAACTGCATAAGTGTTGGTCTCCACTTTCTGGAGCTCGAGTTTTGAAATCAGTGGAATTAGAGTATGATAGCTAAGGGCAACCATGGCATCTGTGACAGAGAGGGAGAAGCATCCATCCATATATACGGGTAAGATAGTCTAGCGAGCTACATTTTCAGATATTACACGTTTCTAATTTTGTCAGAAAGTCATTTTCATTTCAAGTTAAAGTGTACTGTTAGCTAGCTAGCTAACATTACGTGTATGATCTGTGTAATAATATTATTCGTATCTCAGAGCCATTTGCTTTGCTAGTTATAGCCTAATGTTAGCTAGCTACCATTGAACCTGGTTGGTTAGCTACCTGCAGATTCATGCAGGGTAGTAACGTCATGAGTTGGGATTATGGTTCATTGTTTAGCTAGCTGGCTAGCTAGCTACATGTCTTGACAAAATACTGAATGTTCATGATGTCACTGCGACAACTGTTGATAGACGTAGCTGGTAAATTTGCTCAGGCTATCTACTCCTATTTCAGATCACTCTCATCTGAGTGTGCCAGAGCGCAGAATAACTGACAAATTTACGAACGCTCAACACCTGTTGAATATGGCCGTGTCAGTAAATGGTCAGAGTGAGCTGTTCTCTCATTTGTGTCTGGAAGTAGCTAGCAAGCTAGCCAACGTTAGCCAGTTAGCTAGGGTGCTTGACTGCTGCTGTTAGGACACTGCTCGGATCAACCCTACTCTTCGGCCAGAGCGTCCAGTGTGCGCTCTGAACGCACCTTAAAGAGATGGGCGGGGCTAAAGCTTAAGAGGGTGTGAACGATGCTGAATGGGTGTAGACAAAGAAGAGCTCTCCAGTAGGTGTACCAAAACATTCAAAGGCCATTTTCTCAAAAGTGAGGTTACAAGTTCATCAACTTTCAAAGCATAATTACTTTCCCATTGTTCCTCAGCTGTAGTGTATGATATACCATTTTCTAGCTCTGAGTCTCTACTCTTAGCCAATGTAAAAAACACAATTTCAAATTTTGCTACATAAGATCGAGCCGGTCTGTCACATTTTGTTACATTACAGCCTTATTCAAAAATGGATTAAAATGGTTTTTCCCCTATTCAATCTACACATAATACCCCATAATAACAAAGCATCTTTCCCCTCGATCCTGACTAGTTTCCCAGTCCCTGCCGCTGAAAAACATTCCCACAGCATGATGCTGCCACCACCATGCTTCACTGTAGGGATGGTGCCAGGTTTCCTCCAGACGTGAAGCTTGGTATTCAGGCCAAAGAGTTCAATCTTGGTTTCATCAGACCTGAGAATCTTGTTCTCATGATCTGAGAGTCCTTTAGGTGCCTTTTGGCAAACTCCAATCGGGCTGTCATGTGCCTTTTACTGAGGAGTGGCTTCCGTCTGGCCATTCTACCATAAATGCCTGATTGGTGGAGTGCTGCAGAGATTGTTGTCCTTCTGGAAGGTTCTCCCATCTCCACAGAGGAACTCTGGAGCTCTGTCAGAGTGACCATCGGGTTCTTGGTCACCTCCCTGACCAAGGCCCTTCTCCCCCCCATTGGTCAGTTTGGCCGGAGGGCCAACTCTAGGAAGAGTCTTGGTGGTTCCAAACTTTTTCCATTTAAGAATGATGGAGGCCACTGTGTTCTTGAGGACCTTCAATGCTGCAGAATTCTTTTTTTGGTTCCATTCCCCAGATCTGTGCCTCGACACAATCCTGTCTCAGAGCTCTAGGGACAATTCCTTCGACCTCATGGCTTGGTTTTTGCTCTGACATGCACTGTCAACCTTGGGACCTTATATAGACAGGTGTGTCCGTTCCAAATTATGTCCAATCAATTGAATTTACCACAGGGGGACTCCAATCAAGTTGTAGAAACATCTCAAGGATGATCAATGGAAACAGGATGCACCTGAGCTCAATTTCGAGTCTCATAGCAAAGGGTCTGAATACTTTTATATAAATAAGGTATTTCTGTTTTAAATTTTTTATACATTTGCTAAAATTTCTAAACCTAACTTCTGTAAGTTTAGGAAATATTGCCTTGTGCCTTGAAATTCCGTTACCAAAAACCCACATCTTTAAGATATTTTCTAATTTCTCTCCCTCGTGAGGAGGGAGGATAATGAAGGTTCACAGAAGTAACAAGTAAAGGTAGACCTATCAATTAGTTAGTGTTTTACTGATATCAATTTTGTTTATGAATTATGTGATAACTTGTGTTCCGTTTAATGGAATTTCTGAAAATGTCTGCAATTGAATTGGCTACAATGGAAAATCATAGTAGTGGCAAACCACAGTTTGGTTCAGTCAAGAAAAGTAAAGTATCGTTCAGTATAGCACAGTAGAGTACAGTAAATAAAATAGTATAGTACAGTACACAGTAGAGCACAGTAAAGAAAATAGTACAGTACACAGTAGAGCACACTGGAGTCGAGTACACTATAGTGTACTGTATTAAACTATACTCTACTTTACTGTACTGAACTGTATTGTGCTGAACTCTACTGCACTGTGCTGTACTGGTACTCTACTGAGCTCTACTGTGCTGTACTTTGATGTCCAAAGTTGTGAAACATCTATGATTGGTTCACATTTGGAGGCTGAGCTCATTAAAATAATAGCCAGTGTGTAGAATAATACCTAAATATGCAAAGGAGGATATTGCATTTTTATACCTTTTGTGTACCTATTCAGGATACACCACCATAATTATGCATTTCTGTATAGTACAGATCAGGGACTCATTATGTATTCCTTTACCGCAATTCCGTTACCGGATGTAAATCCACTTCACCTACTGTAGTTAAATAACCTAAATATATTTTTTGTCACGTCATAGTTGACACTCACATCGTTGAATCTTAATTCGGAGCAGATATTTACGTTTTTGGAAAACGTGGACACAAAAACTGAGGGCGATTTTAATGAAATTCTGTTACCAAACTTTGCGTCTGCACAGTTCTTCCAGTAAATGTTTTTTTATTTTATTTTACGTTTTAGTGTAAATTGTTAAAAGTAGTCCTTGTGCATAGATTAGTATGGTTTGTTAAACTTTTAAATCAATGGTTTTTGTTTGGCATACATTTTAAGTAACAAATCGGTGTCTCCGCGCAATTCCGTTACTGTGGAATTGCCCTCCAGTGTTTTAGCCAAGGCTAGCTAGCTGATGTAATCTTGCCAAATGTGTTGTTTATCCAGGATCTATATAGATTATTTTTTTAAACATCACCAGATGTTTCTGACGTGCCAGTTCCAGCAAGATTTTCTCAATTTCAGATACCAGGGCCAAAATCCCTATATCTATCGATATAGGCCTACCTACTTCAAGATATGTGTATGCATAGACCTATATGACGAAATACATTGTTTGCCAGATAGAATGTGCATTACCCACATTATTACAGTGGTCTAGATGTAATGTAGATGGGCATCAGAAGTTAGTGTGATAGAATATGAAAACATGGCCGTTTAGGCACTCAAACCTACATTTACATTTTAGTCATTTAGCAGACACTCTTATCCAGAGCGACTTACAGTTAGTGAGTGCATACATTTTCATACTGGTCCCACGTGGGAATCGAACCCACAACCCTGGCGTTGCAAGCACCATGCTCTACCAACTGAGCTACACTGGACTACTTGCTTCACATTATTACACCATTGAAATTTAGTCAAGTCAATCAAATGTTCACAATAACATATGGGACAGATATGCCATTTTCTGTCTATTTGTTGTAGACTGGCAAACAATCTGAAAGTGGTCATTTCTTTTTGGGGAACTTTGAATATTTCGCTATTGATAGATCCATGTACACTTGCCTTCAGCCAATGCACTTGCCTCTTATGTAATGCTTAGAATTTTGGGAGAAGCCCACTCTTTGCGATGTGAGTGATTGATTAGTAATGATTAGGATTCATCCACCTATACAGGGTTGGAGACTTGGGTATGTGTCTTGTTATCAGAAAATGGCCCTCAATTTAGATGTAGCCGACTTGTATTACCGACTCTCTTCTTAATAAGCACCTAGAGAGTATTACCTTGGAGGTAATTCTGTGTCCGAGCGTGTGTGTGGTGACGTTGGCCTCACAGATAGGTCCTCAGTGGTGTGTGACAGAGGCCAGTCCATCTGTTATGAGGAGCAGAGCTGCTTATCTTCTCTGTCTTAGCCCTCAGACACAGATTGGCAGAGATGGCTCCTAACAGGTGGCCTACCCAGGGCCCAGTCCACCCCACCTCACCTCGGGGAAGGGAGGACAGTGAGGACACCCTGTCTTGGTACAACCTCTGCTGCAGCCTCTGTTTCCCCGCACATGCAACCGCGGGCCCCTGTAGGGCCCACTAAATATGGACTGCTGTGTTGGTGTTGTCACGTTTTGGCTTGCTTGCGCTCAAGCTCGCCCACATTTTGTTACATTACAGCCTTATTCTAAAATGTATTAAATAAATACAAATTATCATCAATCTACACACAATACCCCATAATGACAAAGCGAAAACAGGTTTTTAGACATTTTTGCAAATTAATAAAAAAATAGAAATACCTTATTTACATAAGTATTCAGACCCTTTGGTATGAGACTCGAAATTGAGCTCAGGTGCATCCTGATTCTATTGATCATGCTTGAGTCCTTGAGTCCACCTGTCTAAATAAGGTTCCACAGTTGACAGTGCATGTCAGAGCAAAAACCAAGCCGTGTGGTTGAAGGAATTGTCCGTAGAGCTCCAAGACAGGATTGTGTCGAGGCACAGATCTGGGGAAGGGTACAAAAAAAATTATGCAGCATTGAAGGTCCCTAAGAAATTAGCCCACCCAACTACCTCATCCCTATATTGTTATTTATTTTGCTCTTTTGTACCCCAGTATCTCTATTTGCACATAATCTCTTGCACATCTAGCATTCCAGTGTTAATACTAATTGTAATTATTTTGCACTATAGCCTATTTATTGCCTTACCTCCATAACTTGCTACATTTGCACACACTGTATATATATTTTCTGTTGTATTTTATGACCTTATGTTTTGTTTTACCCCATATGTAACTCTGTGTTGTTGTTTTTATCGCACTGCTTTGCTTTATCTTGGCCAGGTCGCAGTTGTAAATGAGAACTTGTTCTCAACTGGCTTACCTGGTTAAATAAAGGTTAAATAAAATAAAATAAAAATAAGAACACAGTGGCCTCCCTCATTCTTAAATGGAAAAAGTTTGGAACCACCAAGACTCTTACTAGAGCTGGCCGCCCGGCCAAACTGAGAATGGCCTTGGTCAGGGAGGTGACCAAGAACCCAATGGTCACATGAGAAACAAGATTCTCTGGTCTGATGAAACCAAGATTGAACTCTTTCGCCTGAATGCCAAGCGTCACGTCTGGAGGAAACTCGAGGCTGTAATCCCTGCCAAAGGTGCTTCAACAAAGTACTGAGTAAAGTGTTTGAATACTTATGTAAATGTGATATTTCAGTTTTTTTAATTTTTAATACATCCGCAAACATTTCTAAAACCTGTTTTTGCTTTGTCATTATGGGGTATTGTGTGTAGATTGATGAGGGGAAAAAAACAATTTAATCTATTTTAGAATAAGGCTGTAAAGTAACAAAATGTGGAAAAAGTCAAGGGGTCTAAATAATTTCCGAATGCACTGTATAAGGGAGGTTACAATTTGACCTCTGTTATAAGACTTGGTGTCTGAAAAGTATTTTGAATAACCTGGTTGTCCTTTGTGGGAGCCCTGCGTCCTTTTTCAAATTGATTATTGATTAAACATGGCCCGACTAAAAGTCTGCTGCACACCTTTATGGGAAAATCTTTTTTATTACCTTTTAGCTGGCATCAAATCAATTAACCAATTGATTGTGAATATCGATTCCCAGTATTTCCCTTTTGGTCCAATGTCAGCCAACTACCCATTGTATCGTCCTGGGCAGAGCTAAACTCCGGCTGGGGAACAGTGTTCTTTTAAAGCCGGGATAAGTGCTTGTCAGGTAGGGTCACCTCAATGATTTCCCCCATGCTGGGAGTGTACTTGGTACAGTCAGTCCAAGTCCATTTGAATTCTGATGAGATATCAGTATGCTCTGGCAGGCTGCTGAAATCCCTGCCTGATTAAGATGTAGGTGCATGGAGGGAGATTTTTCCTTCTCTTTTAACTTCTCCTTTCCCTAATCTCAAAAGATTTCTCCATCCAGGTTGCATCTCAGTCATTTCAATTAGCCTAGACTATCTCTTTCTCCTTGTTTCTTTTCTTGTAGGCCTAGCCGGGGTGATCTGAAAGAACTGCCGGGATTTCTGCCTTATTGCTTTCACCTGTCCAGTAGATCAAAGGGAGAAGAGGACAGGAAGCTACTTTAGACTGACACAGGCTTGCTGGATGGTTGTCCTTTTTGCCTCCGTCAGTCACTTGGCCTAGCATCTCATGTGTGGTATCTCTCTAATGGAGCCTTTATTACAGATGCGAGTTGAATGATGTGTTACTCCATCAGAAGAGCACTACTGAAATTGAGTGATGTTCAGTAGGAGCCTCTCTGGGGGTTATTGGCGCCTTGTCATGAGTGTGACTGTTATTTATGGGGTCACGGCTGTTCCAGTTGCTATTTTTGTCAGGACTGAACCGAGCTGTACAGGATTGAACCCTTGGCCAAGGTACAACACACGATATGGGCGATATGGCCAAAATACAATATGACAATATTTGTCTTTTTTTTATTGCGGTATTTGATGTTGGGAATAATACAAATGTTTTATGAGAAGTGCATGACCCTAGAATGGAAACAAATGAATTCGAAGTGGTTTTAATGTGCTTTCTCCATTCTGATTATTTATTCTCAACCAAACTAGGACACAACTGACAGTGAAGTAGTCCAATTTGTGTGGATCCATACTGGTATACAATATATCGCCCAGCCCTATACACGTACATAGATACTCTCACTCTCTCTCTCACACACACACACACACACACACACACACAGAGAGAACACAGAAGTTATGCGAACAGAGGGCCATGGAAAATAATGGAATTGGATGTTGATGTCTTCCTGTTTGCCTACACACAAACCCTGTGACAGTGAATTGTGGAGCGATGGTAGTTAGTTGGTGCCCATGAGGGTCTGTGGACTGAGTCAGATGACTGGCCAGAGTTATTAAACCAGTGAAACTGTAATTTTGGGGCTGGAGAAAGAGAGTATGAGCAGCCTGCTTATTCCCTGTCTAATCCCCCCCCACTCCATATGTTTTCACGCTGAAGCAGATACCTTTACTACACAAATTACATAAGCATACAAATATCATTTTAAAACATAATCATTTTGTTTTGCCTATTGCTGCTGGATTAAGATGGCTTTAGGCCTATACTAAACCACGTAGCTGGATACTTATCATGGGATTAAGACTGAATTAGGCAAAAAAATTATAATGATATGAACTGAGTTCGGTCCACATTGGCATCGGTTGTGTCACCCAGGGTGGATGAATGTTTGTAACCGTGAAGCCTCCTAGGTAGTGTTTTGTGCATGTGTAGTACTAGCCGAATAGTTGCAGGTTCTTTCTGTTATTGGAAGCTGTGAGTGTGAAATAGTATTTTGAGTGAGAAGTGGCAACAATTTTAAAGGAATACCTGTCAGAAGTTCAGAACTTCTGTAGATTAGATGCTTGGTTTTAACAAGGGAAAATTACATCAAATTTGAGTGTGTTTCACATTCTAATCCATTTGTGACAGGCCTATGTTTTTATTAGATTAGTCTCTGCTTCTTTCTCGCCCTCACACACATGCACACAACATTCTGTAGGCTGTTACATAAAGGCTACAAGCCCACGGTAGGCAGATCAGGAGGATGCAGAGAGACAGGCTGATATAGTGTGCTCCACATCTACAGGTGGCTGGACTGCCTGCTTCTATCTATGCAGTCGCGCCCCCTAGATTACTCTGTGTACTGTAGACACAGACCACCGAAGCAGCATCCAAGAATGCTACCACCAACATGATCAACGGAAATCAATCAAAGCCAAACGTGCTGGCAGAGGGACAACCGAGGTAGGCTTCCCCCGCCTCAACAACAGTGGGGAAACCATTGCTGAATAGCATTTGTAAATGAATTGACCGTTGTTAACTCACTCAGCAGTTTAAAAAGGTGACCGTGCCTTAGCCTGTTTGGTTGTGGCTGTGTAGACGGTATGTTGGATCTAAGCATGCGTCCTCGAGGAAGATGCGGCGGGTCGACTATCGGTCAGTGTTTCAACAACCAGTCAACTGAGACATTCCTCCTTGAAGAGCAATGCTATGTAAGACGGGCTAAAGTAGGCCATGTATGCAGTCTTCCCGGTTAGCTGACTGATTGGCATACCTCTCTTTGAAGGTTCCTGCCTTTCTGCTGACTCAGTCCTCCACATGAATAAGGGCTTCCTTCCTGCGTTTGTTGTGTTTTAAGTGGCTGCCGGGCGCTAATGCTACATGCCATGGCTTCATGATGAGGGCATGCCTGTGTAGCTGCTGTGTGGTAGGTTGTGTGTGGCTGCTGTGTAAGGTCAGGGGTAGAGAGTAGAGCAGCGGGGGTGTCTGTCTAGCTGCACCTCTCTGAGTCGGCCCATGTCACAGCATGGGGTTCGGTGAATGTTCCAGGAAGGACGGGGAAAAAATCGCAGAGCTTCAGTACTCGGGTTAATGAGACCAAAGGCATTTTGCTGCAGCGTCACTGACTGTGTCCCTCAGCAGTCATCGACTAAAAAACACAGTTTTTTATTTTATTTGTATTTTATTTCACCTTTATTTTAACCAGGTAAGCCAGTTGAGAACAAGTTCTCATTTACAACTGCGACCTGGCCAAGATAAAGCAAAGCAGTGCGATTAAAAACAACAACACAGTTACATATGGGGTAAACAAAACATAAAGTCAAAAATACAACAGAAAATATATATACAGTGTGTGCGAATGTAGTAAGTTATGGAGGTAAGGCAATAAATAAATAGGCCATAGTGCAAAAATAGTTACAATTTCGTAAATAACACTGGAATGATAGATGTGCAAAAGATTATGTGCAAATAGAGATAATGGGGTGCAAAATAAATAATAATATGAGGATGAGGTAGTTGGGTGGGCTAATTTCAGAATGGCTGTGTACAGGTGCAGTGATCGGTAAGCTGCTCTGCCAACTGACGCTTAAAGTTAGTGAGGGAGATAAGAGTCTCCAGCTTGAGAGATTTTTGCAGTTCGTTCCAGTCATTGGCAGCAGAGAACTGGAAGGAATGGCGGCCAAAGGAGGTGTTGTCTTTGGGGATGACCAGTGAGATATACCTGCTGGAGCGCAGACTACGGGTGGGTGTTGCTATGGTGACCAGTGAGCTAAAATAAGACGGGGATTTGCCTAGCAGTGATTTATAGATGACCTGGAGCCAGTGGGTTTGGCGACGAATATGTAGTGAGGGCCAGCCAACAAGAGCGTACAGGTCACAATGGTGGGTAGTATATGGGGCTTTGGTGACAAAACGGATGGCACTGTGATAGACTACATCCAATTTGCTGAGTAGAGTGTTGGAGGCTATTTTGTAAATGACATTGCCGAAGTCAAGGATCGGTAGGATAGTCAGTTTTACGAGGGCATGTTTGGCAGCATGAGGTGAAGGAGGCTTTGTTGCGAAATAGGAAGCCGATCCTAGATCTAACTTTTGATTGGAGATGCTTAATGTGAGTCTGGAAGGAGAGTTTACAGTCTAACCAGACACCTAGATATTTGTAGTTGTCCACATACTCTAGGTCAGACCCGAAGAGAGTAGTGATTCTAGTCAGGTGGGCGGGTGCAAGCAGCGTTCGGTTGAAGAGCATGCATTTAGTTTTACTAGTGTTTTAAATGCAGTTGGAGGCTACGGAAGGAGTGTTGTATGGCGTTGAAGCTCGTTTGGAGGTTTGTTAACACGGTGTCCAATGAAGGGCCAGATGTATACAAAATGGAGTCGTCCGCATAGAGGTGGATCCGAGCGTCACCAGCAGCAAGAGCGACATCATTGATTGAGTCGGCCCGAGAATTGAACCCTGTGGCACCCCCATAGAGACAGCCAGAGGTCCAGACAACAGGCCCCCTGATTTGACACATTGAACTCTATCTGAGAAGTAGTTGGTGAACCAGGCGAGGAAGTCATTAGAGAAACCAAGGCTATTTAGTCAGCCAATAAGAATGCGGTGGTTGACAGAGTCGAAAGCCTTGGCCAGGTCGATGAAGACTGCTGCGCAGTACTGTCTTTTATCAATTGCGGTTATAATATCGTTTAGGACCTTGAGCGTGGCTGAGGTGCACCCATGACCAGCTCGAAAACCGGATTGCATAGCGGAGAAGGTACGGAGTGGTCGGTGATCTGTTTTGTTAACTCAAATACTTTCGAAAGGCAGGGCAGGATGGATATAGGTCTGTAACAGTTTGGATCTAGAGTGTCACCCCCTTTGAAGAGGGGGATGACCGCGGCAGCTTTCCAATCTCTGGGGATCTCAGACGTTACGAAAGAGAGGTTGAATAGGCTAGTAATAGGGGTTGCGACAATTTCGCCGGCTAATTTTAGAAAGAAAGGGTCCAGATTGTCTAGCCCAGCTGATTTGTAGGGGTCCATATTTTTTTTAGCTCTTTCAGAACATCAGCTGTCTGAATTTGTGTGAAGGAGAAGTGGGGGGGGCATGGGCAAGTTGCAGCGCAGGGTGCAGAGCTGGTGGCCGGGGTAGTGGTAGCCAGGTGGAAAGCATGGCCAGCCGTAGCAAAATGCTTGTTGAAATTCTCGATTATTGTAGATGTATCGGTGGTGACAGTGTTTCCTAGCCTCAGTGCAGTGGGCAGTTGGGAGGAGGTGCTCTTATTTTCCATGGACTTTACAGTGTCCCAAAACCTTTTGGAGTTAGTGCTACAGGATGCAAATTTCTGTTTGGAAAAAGCTAGCCTTTGCTTTCCTAACTGATTGTGTATATTGGTTCCTGACTTCCCTGAAAAGTTGCATATCGCGGGTCTGTTCGATGCTAATGCAGTATGCCACAGGATGTTTTTGTGCTGGTCAAAGGCAGTCAAGTCTGAGGAGAACCAGGGGCTATATCTGTTCTTAGTTCTGAATTTTTTGAATGGGGCATGCTTATTTAAGATTGAGAGGAAAGCACTTTTAATGAACAACCAGGCATTCTCTACTGACGGAATGAGGTCAATATCCATACAGGATAGCCGGCCAGGTCAATTAGAAAGGCCTGCTTCTAAAGTGTTTTAGGGAGCGTTTGACAGTGATGAGGGGTGGTCGTTTGACCGCGGACCCATTACGGACGCAGGCAATAAGGCAGTGATCGCTGAGATCCTGGTTGAAGACAGCGGAGGTGTATTTAGAGCATATCCCAGTTTAGGTCACCAAGCAGTACGAACTCTGAGGATAGATGGGGGGCAATCAGTTCACATATGGTGTCCAGGGCACAGCTCGGGGCTGAGGGGGGTCTGTAGCAAGCGGCAACAGTGAGAGACTTATTTCTGGAAAGGTGGATTTTTAGAAGTAGAAGCTCAAACTGTTTGGGCACAGAACTGGATAGTCTCTACAGTAGATTGCAACCCCACCCCCTTTGGCAGTTCTATCGAGACAGAAAATGTTGTAGTTGGGGATGGACATTTCTGAATTTTTGGTGGCCTTCCTAAACCAGGATTCAGACACTGCTAGAACATCAGGGTTGGCGGAGTGTGCTAACGCAGTGAATAACTCAAACTTAGGGAGGAGGCTTCGGATGTTAACGTGCAAGAAACCAAGGCTTTTACGGTTACAGAAGTCAACAAATGATAACGCCTGGGGAGTAGGAGTGATACTGGGGGCTACAGGGCCTGGGATAACCTCTACATCACCAGAGGAACAGAGGAGGAGTAAAATAAGGATACGGCTAAAGGCTTTAAGTACTGGTCTTCTAGTGCGTTGGGTACAGAGAAAAAAAGGGGCAGATTTCTGGGCGTTGTAGAATAGATTCAGGGCATTATGTACAGACAAGGATATGGAAGGATATGAGTACAGTGGAGGTAAACCTAAGCGTTGGGTAACGATGAAAGAGAGAGCGTCACTGGAGGCACCAATTGAGTCGGTCTCTGCGTGTATGGGTGGTGGGAAAAAGGAGCTATCTAAGGCAGGTTGAGCTGGGCTGGGGGATCTACAGTGAAATAGTACAATAAGAAATAACCGAAACAGCAATAAGCAAGGCATATTGACATGGGAGAGAGGCATAAAGCAATCACAGGTGTTATTCGAGAGAGCTAAGACAACAGCTGGTAATGGCGACAAAGTTTGGGCTGAGGCTAAACATAAACAGGATTCGGTACCGTATAAAGGAACAGTCCGGCAGGCATCAGCTGTATAGCTGAGTTATCATAAGGTCCGGTGAACAGCAATAGGAGCGTTCGGGGGCTGCTACAGCACTGGCGAGCAAGAGGCCACGGCTTGCGTGTGCTAGCGGGCCGAGGCTAGCAGATGGATCTTCGTGGTCGACGTCGTAACGGGAAGCCTGTTGAAACCACATCAGACGATTTCGTCGGCAGACCAGTCGTGTTGGATCGGCGGAGTTCCGTGTCAACACTAGGAGGTCCCGTTCGGTTGACAGAGAGGTAGATAGCCGGGAGATGGGCCTGGCTCGAGGCTAGCTCAGGGCTGATTAGCCAACAACTACATCCATTTGGTTGCAGCTAGCTAGTTGCGATGATCCGGTATTAAAGGTCCAGTGATTCAGTGATTCCGGCAGAAAAACCGATATGTTCTGGGTCGATAACGAGCTGTGCAGACAGTGCAGATTGGCTGATAATAGTCCAGGCTAGAGCTGGCTGGTAGGTAGTGCAGGCCACGGACAATGGTGAAAAACCGTTAACGGTGGCTAATAGCAAGTAGCTAGTTAGCTGGCTACTCCCGTCTGGTAGACAGAGAGGTAGATAGCCGGGATATGGGCCTGGCTCGAGGCTAGCTCAAGGCTAACTGGTGCTTGTTTCGGGGGCAGCGGTGATTAGCCAGCAGCAACATCCATCCGGTTGCGGCTAGCTAGTTGCGATCCGGTGTTAATGTCCAGTGATTCAGTTATTCCGGCAGAAAATCTGATGTTCTGGGTGAAAACCGCTAACGGTGGCTAATAGCAAGTAGCTAGTTAGCTGGCTAGCTAGTTTCAACTGGAGATTCTAGATAAATGGTAAGTCAATAATAGAATCCGTTCCACATTGAGTGAGGCGGGTTGCAGGAAAGTATATTTTGTAGAAGGATGAAAAGTGTGATAGGGAAATATGTACGAAAAAAAAAAAAAAGGCTATTTACACGGACACACAACAAAGAACACGACCGCACTGCTACGCCATCTTGGAAAGTATCTCTGGGATAAGTGTTGAGCATCATTGTTATAGGGCTTAGTCTGACTGCTCTTTTAAAATGTGTCGATCATAAAATTGTTAAGCAATGAAGAAGTGGCGGTGAATAGCCAAAGTGAGCTAGCCTATTTACAGAAAAAGCTGCTTGGCAACAATTACTATTTGTCACAATGAAAGCTCAAATTCCGGTTATCATTCACATCTTCTCTAGTAGATGGCGCCCCAACTGATTTTGCTGTCTTATTTTCTCTCTTTCTCCCCTCAGTCACACCTGATCTGGTCCCGGAATCCCTGGTACCACCCGTGGTGCCTTCCCTGCCCTCAGCACGGGCCCGGCCTGCCCTGCACAGGCCCCGTAGGCGCAGCGGCAACAACAGCAGCAGCGGAGGCGACCCCACCAGGCCGTGGCCCTTGGGCCCGGCAGTCCCCAGAGGAAGCATGGAGGTGGGCATGCGCGTGGTGCGCGGCCTGGACTGGAAGTGGGGGAACCAGGACGATGGTGACGGCCACGTGGGCACGGTGGTGGAGATCGGGCGGCAGGGCAGCACGACCACGCCCGACAAGACGGTGGTGGTGCAGTGGGACAGCGGCACACGCACCAACTACCGCACAGGCTACCAAGGCTCCTACGACCTGCTGCTCTACGACAACGCCCAGATCGGTGAGCATTGAGCCCTGAGAACCCCACCACAGCTGTTTACACACACATAAGTTACACTATATATACAAAAGTATGTGGACACCCCTTCAAAGTAATGGATTTTGCTATTTCAGCCACACCCGTTGCTGACGGTGTATAAAATCGAGCACACAGCCATGCAACCTCCATAGACAAACATTGGCACTAGAATGGCCTTACTGAAGAGCTCAGTGACTTTCAACCGCGCACAAGTCTAAGATCACCATACGCAATGCCAAGCGTCGGCTGGAGTGGTGTAAAGCTCGCCGCCATTGGAGCAGTGGAAACACGTTCTCTGGAGTGATGAATCACGTTTCACCATCTGGCAGTCTGACGGACTAATCTGGGTTTGGCGATGCCAGGAGAACGCTACCTGCCCGAATGGATAGTGCCAACTGTAAAGTTTGGTGGAGGTGGAATATTGGTCTGGGGCTGTTTTTCATGGTTCGGGCTAGGCCCCTTAGTTCCAGTGAAGGGAAATCTTAACGCTACAGCATATAATGACATTCTAGACGATTCTGTGCATCCAACTTTGTGGCAACAGTTCGGGGAAGGCCCTTCAGCATGACAATGCCCCCATGCACAAAACGAGGTCCATACAGAAATGCTTTGTCGAGATCGGTGTGGAAGAACTTGACTGACCTGCACAGAGCCCTGACCTCAACCCAGTCGAACACCTTTGGGATGAATTGGAATGCCGACTGCGAGCCAGGCCTAATCGCCCCACATCAGTGCCCGACCTCACTTATGCTCTTGTGGCTGAGTGGAAGCAAGTCCCCGCAGCAATGTTCCAATATCTAGTGGAAAGCCTTCCCAGAAAAGTGGAGGCAGTTATAGCAGCAAAGGGGGGACCAACTCCATATTAATTCCCATGATTTTGGAATGAGATGTTTGACGAGCAGGTGTCCACATACTTTTGGTCATGTAGTGTATGTACTTGTTAGGGATGGGCATTTGAAATTATTTCACTATTAAAATAATATGGATATTTTGGGGATATCCGGGTAGTCAAACTTCAAAAAAATGAATGCTCTCAACTCTCTTGACCAATCAGAATGACCCACATGCACATGGCAGAGGTAAACAGTGGACAGGATGCTTTTCTCTGTAGCTTTTGGCTAAAAGCAACAGTGAAAGAGAAGTTTGACGGTAGAACTGATTCTGTTATGAAAATGTTTTCTAGTGAGTTTTGCATTGATCTGTGTCAGGTCTTGTGGAAACTCTGTTAGTTGCGCGCCTGTAATTGCTATTTGAAGCGGGGAAATAGCATACCGAGGTCAGTGCATACTGGAGGGTAAATGCGCAACAGTAGCACAACGCAGTTTATAAAAACTACATTCAAAAGTTTGTTTTGTTAAGTATTTCAAATGTCATGGTATATCCCTGAAGGTAACAATGCCATAAGGATAATCTAATTTAATTTATAACAAAGCTTTTTCATTGTCAAAATAGGCCTACAATTATTTTTCTCTCCAAAAATGCTAACTCACTCAAGTAATCGAAACTAATGTCCATTCGGATATCCGGATATTCGATTAACTGTGCCCATCCCTAGTACTTGTGTGTAAAACAACCTACTGTACATTTATTATATAAAACCATATTCATTAAGACCGGGATTCAATCCGATCCGCCTTAGAACCATGTTATAGCAAGCTTGACATTTAAAGGTAATTTCCGATTGAGGCAACATGCACAGCGTTTACCGTGAATGCTATGTCTGCGAACGAAATTGCCTTTAAAAGCATAGTTGTCGGCTGTCCAGTGCACTTTGCTCTGAATTGAATCCCGGCTTTAAACTATATTCAAGTTTCATGTACTTTTTTTTTTATATCTTTTTTTTTTTTTTTGGTATTTATGTCTCATCTCTGTGACTCAAGCAAGCTTCCTCAAGCTCATGTTTACTTAGCATCGCAGAGCAAAGGGCATCTTTCTCCATCTCCATTTCCATTTCCCTCGACTCAAACAGAGAGACAGGCGATACAGCCCTGTTTTAGAATCGAATGCCAAGTGCTAATGCAGGATTCATCTGCATTTTGCTCCATTAAAGACAGCATTTTTCTGCCTCAGAAGCCAATAAGGCTTCAATTTTAGCCTAGAAAAAGGGGGAGAAGGAGAGTCAAAAGGAGAGAAAGGGAGAGGGGTGAGGAAGAGCATTATCTCTCGACATCTCTTTCATCAGTCAAAGCGTCTCATTTACTGGGCTGTCTTGACCTCCTTCCACCTCTCTCTGACTCTCTCGCTCTCTCTCCCCTTTTCTCTGTCTCAGGTGTGCGCCACTCCAACATAATCTGTGACAGCTGCAAGAAGCATGGCATCATGGGGATGCGCTGGAAGTGTAAGGTGTGCTTTGACTACGACCTGTGCACGCAGTGTTACATGAACAACAAGCACGACCTGGGCCACGCCTTTGAACGCTATGAGACCGCCCACTCCCAACCGTGAGTACCATGGTCACCCCCCCAAATCTTTTCTCAAGAATTACGCCTTCATGTAGTGCAATACAACCAGTATTATACAGACACAGGCTTATCATCTGGCCAGGAGCTAAAACACTATATGGGAGAATGGTACTTAAGCAAATATGTTCAGTAATGCCACGCAGAATACTGTTGGCCAATAGTACAGTAATTCCTTATGTGGAATCAATTCCCTCTTATCTGCCATTGTCACATTGCATTGCATAATTACAGTTTCCTCAAGTGAGTGAAGGCTTTTGAGTTCATAGACATTGCGAAAGACATTAGGGCAAAATAAAGAGGAACTGTGTCAGAGAACAATCTCACCAAACCTTCAATGGCTGTATGTCACTGCTGCTTAGGTTTAGGGCTATTCAATCAAAACAGGTTGTCCGGTTTTAGAGGTAAAGTAGCCTGAACTACTGAATGAATGAGTCTTCATCTTGACATGCAAAAAAAGTAAATAAGCGGTTTGGATAGTAGGACCCCTAGTTGAAATTATTCTCTAATATCGAGAAGATAGAGAAAATGTATTTGTCACTGACGGTCAGCTCTCATATTCTGTACTGTACAATACAGTCTGCCAGAGGCTCCTTCCCCTCTCACTTTGACTCCCGCTTCAGTTTCTCTACGGTATTGATTTCACATTGGGCCTGTATGCTGTTATAAGATCTGATTTTAAACCTAACTGCTTTATGTCACGTCAAGAGTTAAGTCTGGACTTCAGGACTTGAAAGCTGACGGGAGAGTAAACACAAGGCTAAATGTTGGATTTCTGTCCTTTGAAAACACTAGTGGACAGCAGTGTGCCCCAAGAAGACTACTATAAGATCTAATCGTCTTATCGGTCTTGTTATTTTGAGGATGTTTACAAACTACTCAGCCCCACCGTAGGACTTACACTCACTACCTTACGAGACCGCAAATCTCAACCTTTAATAGATTTATATATTCTACTTATATCACTGGCTTCAGTAAGAAGCTTGATACATCTGGTGGGTGTGTTGATCCGATTTGAGAGTAGTAAACATACAGACCACCACGCTCCCGCTTTGTTTTGAGGGAAACAAAAGCCCATTATTTGGTTAGTTCACCATTTATGAAATTACTTCCACAAACACATTAACTTCTCTATATCAACAAACAGTACACAGAGGTAAAGGCAAATGCAGGATTAGATATCACAGTAGTTGAATCCTGTGCATGAATGATGGAGGTTATGAAATGCAACGATTGGTTGCTTTTGACCCAAAACGGCTGATGGTTAACACATGTTTAGTGCATGTGGTCCATACAGGAATTGAACCAACAACTCCTGAACATGCCCTGATCTGGACCACAAAATAACAGCGGGAATGTTCAAATTTGAAGTGGATCTCTGGACTCTGAAGGGATCTCTGTCACCCCAATACAAACACGTTATGAAGCTCAGAGCCATCTCTCTGAGACATCTTTAATCATGAATGGAGTAGTTAGTCTAAAGTGGAATGAAAGAATGTCACTCAGCTGAAGTCAGTGGGCCTGCAGTGATGTGATAGACCCTTCAGACATCTCTGGCCTTGGCTAGAGAGGACAGCAATGTGATGAGTGGAGGGCAGACGTGGCAAGGAAAACCACTCAGAGTGAACAGACGGGCTCTTACGCAACCCGCATCCCGATGGAGAACATTTATTACGCTGATTCTACGAATGTTTTCCCGCCGTGACCACTGAGGATTCTGAGAAACAGACGTCGTCCACAATGATACAAAGAACCATTGATGGTCTTTCTCAGTTCTGTTTAGGCCTCGCTACTTTAGAGAAGCCCACTGAATATGCATCAATTTATTTGAACTATGACTCCCATTGGCGTCATTCTGAATTCGCTACATTGGGGTCAGGCGGGACTCTGAACGAGTTTCAGTTCTCCTTTGGCCAAATATGCCATATGCATGGAATTTAGCCAGTCATTTATATTTCAACACCTCATCATACTATAACTCATCCATACTTCATTAGATCATGCCATGAGCATTTTAGACATACTCCAGCAGCTTACACAATACACACACAACATTCCACCCATACCATACAAGCTTATTATGGGACGTTGCATTCGTCTTTCAAAAAGCTTATCTGTATAACGTTTCATTATGAATTAAACAGCATATCGATAGAACAGCCCCTGCTATGGTTAATGAATGGAGATACAGGAGGAGGTAAAGGTAGACAATGGTGACTAAATTAGCCAACGTTTATATCCAACCATTGGATCCCAATTCTGATTTATATGTACTGTTGATGTCATTTATTACACACCGTGAAGTAGGGTTGAGCGATATATCGAATGAATTATAATGTATTATATTACGCAATATGCCTGTATCGCAATAATCATTTTTTTAAAAGTGTTTGTCCGCTTGTACTCGTATTGTCTTTTTGATTCCTTCGCTCCTTCTGTGCTGTGTGCAATGACTGTAGGCTCTGTGCACCTTCCTATTTACACACACCAAGCCCCTCCCCAAAATCACTTCTTCCTCTCTGACAAGCGGTTTAAACTCGCTATTTGCATTTGATATTTGGTCCAACAGAATCGGTCATATGGACACCGAAACACATTGAGACATTTATTTTACTGTAACAGAGGAGAAGTTAACAATACCCTTTTTATATCTTAACTCCTCAAATTGTGCAGAGCAGACACTATTCAAACGGGAGTGTCAATAAACATTGATTCTGTAAAATTCATGCTCCGTTTGTGGCGCGTGACATTGCTGTACCACGTACCGCTAGCAGCATTTTAGGCAAAGACTGTTATATGGCGCCGACAGCCAAGGCAGCTCTGCTTCTAGCTCTTAACCAACTTTGCAGTATTTAGATTTTTGGGTGTTATTTCTTACATTATTAGCCCAGAACTTTTTTGTGTTATTACATACAGCCGGAAATAACTTTTGGATATCAGAGCGGCGGTAACTCTACGACCAGGAATACGGCGTCTCTTCTGGCCACCCTTCGGGTGCTTCCAAGAAGAAGCTCTGACGACCTCTCTCGTCAAAGGCACGGTCGGGACCTCTGGCTCCGCAGGAGGGGTGGGGCCCGCTTCTCTGCTGCTGGAAGTCGCTGCATGGCGCCGTGCACGACGCCTCGCTATAGACCCCTGTCTACTTGAGGCGGTGGAGCTTGACGGTCGTTTCGGTGCAGGGCCGAGTCTTCCTGCCAGTGGCAGATGTCTGGCCAGCTGCTTCCTCTCCTCGTCAAGTCTCATAAAACGCTCCGTCGCATCTTTGACGGCGACCCCAAACAGGCCGTCGTCAGAGATGGGGGCGTTCAGTAACGCGGCTCTGTCTGTCTCTTTCATGGCTGTCATAGACAGCCAAAGGTGTCGTTCCACCACCACCGAAGTGGCCATGGACCTCCCCGCACACACAGCTGATGCCTGCGTTAAGTGGAGAATAGCGGCAGAAATTCTGGACGCCTCTTCCACTTCCTCCCCAGTGAGCTCAGACTTACCCGTTGTTAGGCGGGACAGAGGCTGCTAGGAGGGCAATATTATTCGCCGCTGCAACGGCCTGGGCTCCCAACACGACGGACTTCTCAACCAGCTGTGCTGTGAGTCGGTCCTTCTGTGTGGGTAGAACGGCTTTCTTGGACGAGGGCCAGGGACCCGAACCCGGCACGAGATACGCAGCCAGGGCGCTCTCAAGCCTAGGGATTCCCCTTGAAAAGCCCTGCTGTCTGCCTTCTACTCTGGTGAATGGGAGGTACGCCTTAGCCGGCGAACTCACCGCTAAAGGTGCCTCCCATGAGCCCTCCACATACTTACCAAGCGAGGGCATGGTCGGTGCCAGAGGCTCCGCCGCCCTCCTGGGCCTGGAATAAGGACCGCCTCCATCATATCCACTTCCGGGTTGGAGTGAATGGGGGGCAGCTTAATCTGCAGGCGCTCGGCAGCCCTCTCGATAAGCCCTGGAAAGTCAGAGCGCAGAGAGGCTGTGGCGTATGATGTGGCTGCTGAATTCTCAGAGCCCGCATCATCATCGCCCAGGGATGAAAAAGACCTCGCCCTTTCCAATGGAAATGGGGTCTTAATATCATGGGTCAGAGGGATGGATTGTTCCGCTGGAATATCCATCTCTTCCCCAATATCCCTGTCATCTCCTGAGTCAGCGCCATCAGATGATGCCTCAGAAGCTGAGGCTAACACTGATAGCACATCCTCAAGAGGAATATCCTCCCTAAAAAATGCCCAACGCTGCTTCCTCTCTTTCAATGAAAGGAGGACGCAGCTGGCGCATAGTGGAGGATCTATGAGGCCGTCCCTGGCGTGCTGTGACCCTAGACACACGAAACATAAGTCATGGGGGTCAGCAGCCACCATAGAGGAACAGCGACATTGAGCTCTGAAAATAGCTTTTGGGGGTGGAAAATCTCCTGGTGTGCTCATTTTAGGACAATGTCGATGATCTGGAAAATCGACTGTGTTTTCTTCATCCTGAGTCTTCGTCTTCTTATTGGCTTCTTCAGTCCAGTCCAGTCGCTGAAGATAATGGGAGGCTGATTGAGGGGAAGCGTCCCCTCTTATAGGGACACCTGTACTCCTATTGGCTGCAGGTGTGTGCATAATTTTGTCTCAGGCTGTTAGCTGCCTAGGCAGCGGGGTAAACCAATAGGAGCAGAGCTCCCCTATGGGGCGGAGCTCCTCGATATAGAACTCTCCGGGAAGAAGAAAGGCTGTGGTGTATATTTCATGATTAACTGCTCATAGTGTGATTGTGATAACATACAGAAACTCAAGTCCTTTTATTCACCCGACCTAGAATACCTCACAATCAAATGCCGACCATATTACCTCCCAAGAGAATTCTCTTCGGTTATAGTCACAGCCGTGTATATTCCCCCTCAAGCCGATACCACGACGGCCCTCAAGGAACTACACTGGACATTGTGCAAACTGGAAACCACATATTCTGAGGCCGCATTTATTGTAGCTGGGGATTTTAACAAAGCA